ACTGCAGATACGAGAACCTCTGTCAATCCCCTCTTCTAACCACTAGCAAACGCTGCCAGCACCCCACAACGTCTCCCGCAAAGCATCCTTGGATTGTGCTGGTCGACATTACAGCAGAGACGGGGCAGAGACACTTACGACAGCGGCTTGATGCCAGGCAGCCGCTGCAAATAGCATCAGTCAGACCACAACCCACAGGCGGCCCTCGCAGACAGGATGGATATAGAGCGCAGGGTGGATGGCTGGGGCTTTTATTATTGTTTTTAGAGTATATATGTATTACATGACCACCACCCATGCCCCAAAGTCTTCGCTGTAATTGTCTGGAATGTCCCAATCCCCACAGGCTGCAGAGCCTCGCATCTCATTACCATACTTGGCACCCTCCGCTCATGGGAAAAACCTCAAATCAAAGCATGCTATCACCGAAACAACACGCAGAGAATGAGGAATAGCTGTCGGGTGCTTGGCTTTGATGACTGCTGTCCTGAGCCTCCATCTGAGAGAGCAACCGTGGAAGCAGAATGGAATCAAAGAGCTGGGTTGTAGATTCTATAAGGAAAACAAGTGCATAAAAAATATGCACGGTCAACGGCTGGCCTAATTCTGCTGAGAAGTCCTGGCAAATAAGAATAAACCATGGAAGGTGATCCTTTGCTAGTATGCAATGGAACTGTAGGGAACTGCATTTTTGTATGGTGGCTAAATTGTCACAAGATACGGAAAAGGCCTATAGCAGTCAATAGAGTATAACAACTTCCCTATAGATACTTTGAACTGTCCTATAGAATTCGATAGAAAATGTTGCTACAGGGTGGTTAAAAAAATCCCCAACAAACTCTTCAGAGAGGAGATGATTCTCTGTGGATCAGTTTTGTCTCACAGTTACCTTGTGCCCCCTGTTGTATCCACCTGTGGACTCGTCTTATACGTACATTATAAGCTCCGCCGGACTGAGCTTGTCTTTTTGATGTGTCTTTGTACACCACCTAGCACACTTCAGCCCTGGTCTCTGACCAGGGTCCCTTGGTGTTACCACACTACGAACAAGAATAGTAGAGTCTGTAAGGCTTAGACTGATTTCTACAGAACCTTGTCAATTTGATCCCTCTTAGGTTCTCCCAGGCTTTTCCATAAGAGGGTTGGTTTCGGTTTTGGGTTGCTGCTGATTTTGTTTAAAGTGAATCGATTGCCTGTGCAAGATGAGTCCCAAGAGATTGGAAGGAGGATAGGGATTACCATATTTGTACATGGGGACGGAGGGCAGCCCACACTCACTGACCCAGTCAGGATATGGATTTTTCTCCTCTTCTGTGGTTTGCCTTCTCACCCACTAACTGTCTTCTGATGCACTATTTATCTCTGCCTGCAGCCTCACAAGCTGCCTGTACCACTCCCCTCTAGGAATTTTGTAAACAGATCACTAGTGAAAGATGCCAGATTGACAACGCTGGGGGCAGATGTCCTGTATTCACCCACAGTGCAGGCATGCCTAGCCCAAACAAAGCACCAATGTTCTTGCAGAAAATCCCTCTCTAGGATTTCCATCAAGGCCTGCTTTGGAAAGCAGATGAACAGTGACACGAAATGCTGGAATATTTCCCTTGTTCCAGAGCCGTTTACAATCCCAAATCGTCAAAAACAACACACCTCAGAAACAACTTTCTCCTTTAGGTACCCAGTAAAGACCAGAGCCTGGCGTTCTGTATCTCCCCTACAAAAGGGAAGATAACCACAATGCTAAAATCCAAAACGCCCTTTGGATTTTATAGTCAACAAGACTACTCGCGTGGGTACAGGTC